AGGGTTGCTGCATGTCCCTGTGATGCCCAGGATCCCAGAAATCCCAGCTGCTTTTTCCTGGTTCATGGTGTCCATTTAACACAGTTGATGGGAACACCGGGAGGCAGCGGAGATCCCACCCAGCCCTGGGCTTATCCCAAATCTCTCCTTGTTGGACACATTCCACTGGGCTAATCCTGCCCAGGACAAATTGGTGGGCAATTAGCAGGGAGCATCCCATCTTCATATCCTTGGCCTTGGATCCCACCGCTGAGCTCAAGGAATTGTCCTCAGGGATGGTTAAATTCCATATGGACCGTCTCTACGTGGTGCAGGAGTGCAGAGAACAGCCCTGATCTCCCAGAACTTGCTTCTAACTCCCCGTTTTTGGGTGTTTTCTCTTTCCCCAGATCCGGAATCAAACATTGTATGCAACTCCACAAGTCTTACATCGGTGCCCCGGCCCCTGGGCCGCAGCACCTCGTCTGTTTGCAAGAACAAAACTCAACAAACCGAGTGCAAGGGTCACTTTATGCATCCTTTAGTGGTTTTTGTAAAAGCTGCTTTTTCTAATCTTCTGCCTCTCTTTGATTTCCCCCCCCCCCGTCCCCCCCTCCCACATAAATCGTGTAACACACATGACTGACACCGAGCAATAGTAAAGTTCTCTCTCTCTCTTTGGTCCTTGGAAAGCTCAGAATCTTCACTTATGCCAGCTGAGTGGTGCAAAGATCCCCCCCACTTCGTGTTCTTTTGGGTTCTCCTTCTGTCGTCGTCGTCGTTGCCCGAGCCTAGATTTGCAGCGTGGTTGATGTTCAGGGGACTGTGAAAAGCACAGCGCTGGTTTTTCTTTAGACAGGCAGGTTTGTTCCTGTTTTTTTTGGGTTTTTTTTTAGTCGGAGATGATCAATTATTCAATCTTCCGTCACGTATTCCGAGCAAAATTGGTGTCTTCCAGAATAGCTGTCGTGGTAGGTTCGAAATCTGCAGTGGAATTCTGAACTCATCCCTTCTTTTTTTGTAGGAGTAAGAGGATATAAATGTGGGTAGCGCTTTTTTTTTGTCGTAGGGAGGGCGAGGACTGGTCACCGGCGGGGGCCTTGGGCTGCTCTCCCAACTGGGAAAATGGATGGTGGCTGATGGGAAGGGACACATGCCCTGGGAGCAGCTTGGGAAAACGAGGTGCTCCCCGTCAGCCACGTCCTGGGGCTGCGGGAGGGAGAAGGGGAGAGGTGGGGAAGGAGGCAAGGAGATGGCCCAGGGTTGGTCTGAAGAGCTTCTCCAGGTCCAAAGGTTGGTCTGAAGGGCTTCTTCAGATCCAAGGTTGGTCTGGAGAGCTCAGGATATGGTCTGAAGAGCTTTTCCAAGCTCTGGAGAGCTCTGAGTTCAGTGGTTGGTCCGAAGAGCTTCTCTAGATCCAAGGTTGGTCTGAAGAGCTTCTCTGAGTTCAGTGTTTGTTCTGAAGAGCTTCTCCAGGTCCAAGGTTGGTCTAAAGAGCTTCTCTAGATCCAGGAGTTGGTCTGAAGAGCTTCTCCAGAGCATGGTGGTGTGGGAAAAGAGGGCATCTGGTTGATGGAGACGAGTCTTCAGGGCAGGGTGAGGGGAAGAGTGGGTGGCTTCACCCTCCACCCGTGTCACTGGCAGGGCTGAGACCAAACTTGAGGGTTGAGGTGCCCCCGCCCATTCCTTGGGCTCTGAGACTTCCAGGAGAAATGTCCATCCAAGCACAAACACCAGCACCGTGGAGAAGGGCCGGAAGGGGTGAGAATTCTGGCTGCTCTGCCGGGGGAGATGTGGGAGGAGAGGAAGCAATAGCAATAAACACGTCGCCTTCCTCCCGGGAAGCAAAGGTGGGAGCAGGGAAGGGATCCCCAGGTGACATGGGGCAGGGTGGGGGACGGTGGTCACACGCAGGCTGTGGGCACCAGGGGGATTCCAGGGGGTTTGGCTCAGCCAGGGACACAAGGACACGAAGATGTCCCACCTTGAGGTGTCCCAGGAGAGCAATACGTTGTCTCGAGGGCAGCAGAGGGAGTTTGTGTTTGCAGACAACTTGTGGCCAGTTTATTTTTAAACCCTTCCCGCTAAACCCAGCTTAGAAACGAGGGTTTGCTTATTTATTTCTCTTTTCCAAGGCGAAACACTTGGTTGGGTTTTGGTTTTTCCCTCAACGTGCCAAAAGTGTTCCCCGTGGGCAACTGTCCCGCCCCTTGGGCTCCGAGGCTGTCAAATCCAGAGCCTTTGGAGAGGTCAGGTTTGGAGCTGGGGATGGGGATCCCTCAGGGCACTGCCTGCCTTGGGTTTCTGACCCATGTGTGGTGTTGAGTCAGCGTTGGGTGCTCTGCTTTGGTCGTGCCTGGATCACGTCTCCTGATGGACCTGAGGGCTCTGGAGGCTCACCTGGACCCTCCATGGTGGTGTAGAGGTCAGGCACGAGGGCTTTTTGGAAGAGAAGGTGACCTGTTGTTGTTGCTTTTGGTGGTGTCACCCATCTTGGCTTCTGCTGCCACTGGGAGGAGCTCCTGGAGCTCCTCGAGTGTGAACCAGATGGGGAGGAAGAAGCTTAGGGATCCAGGAGGACTTTTCCAGCCACTGTTTGCTCTGTCGGGTTGGGTGTTGGCAGCAGCACCTCTGTGTGGGGTTGTTTGGTTGGTTCTGCTGGTTTTTAATGGAAGTGCTGCTGGATTTTTAATGGAAATCCAGAGCAAAGCCCTGGTTCACCTCCCCAAGCTCGAGGGGACACCCCTGTGGGATGGGGAAGGTGCACCCTTGGGCTGCACTTTGGGAAGGAAAGGAGAAGGAGAAAAGGGTCCAACAAGCTTTGTGATCAGAGCCCAGGCTGTGCAGAGGACCCTTCCCAGCAGGCACCACCTCCCACTATCCCAGACACCCTTCAGGACTTTAGGGACAACCCCTAAAATTTTGGCCCGTGGCTGGGAAGGAATTGTTGGGCTGCCTCCTGAAAGGAAAGAACACCAAAAGTGGGGAGGAAGCTCCAGGAGCTGAACATGGAGGGTCACCCAGTGTTCCCACTCAGATGGGCAGTTGGGTTTGAGCCCCTTTGAGCAGATCAAGAGCAGCTCCAATGCTCCTCACCCTGTTATTCCCAGGCAGAAATCCTGATTAACTCAGCCGAGCGCGGAGAGGGGAAATATTTGGCACCTCTTGGGCCAGAGGCTTCACTGAGGACCTTTGGTACCCAGGGCTGGGTTAGGCTCGGGCCACCACGTGGCTCTGGGGCCACCACATGGCTCTGGGGCCACCACTTGGCTCTGGGGCCTCCACACAATGCCGGGCTTGGGAAGCTCCTTCCCGAGGTGGCTCCGTGGGGCTGTGCTGGTGGGGAGACGCTCCTGCCCTTCCCTTGATCCCAAGCCCTCTCCTTGGTCAAGTCATGGCTTGAGGGAAGGTCCTGGGGAGGTCACAGTCCCCCTTGGGTGGGGACAGTGCTGGGGGGCCACCAGCTTCCCAAATATTTCAGCTTTGCTGATGTTGGTTATGGAAAAGGGTTTTCCATCACCCCGGGATTAGTGGCGAAGAGCAGGAGGGGTTAAACCATCCAGGGAAGTGTCTGAGATGAAAATTCCAGCTAAAGAGGAGGGAAAATAACTCCCAACCTGCTGTTCCCACCATTAACCCATCCCTGCCTTTATCTTGGCTTTAAAACACCAGCTCTAGTGTGAGATTTGGGGGGAAAAAATAGGAATATTAGTCCTGGTGGTGACACCCCCCCTTGGAGCCTGAACCCTTCATGCCTCCAAGTGGCTGAGCCCTCCAGGCAAGGATTTGCTCCTGGATTTTATGGATAACGAATAACCCAGTTTTTGCAGTTCCAGGATGGAATTACCTTGGAGTGTTAAAATTTAAGGGGTTTGCTTTAACGCTGGATGTTCGGAGGATCAGGTTTTCCCGCAGCCACTGGAATATGGTCCTTCCCAGAGCCCCCTCCCACCCTGTTTGCCAGGCCCTGCGTTCCCCCAGGGAATTTGGGACGACCTGGTTCCCAGCTGGAGGGCGTGAAATCGGATCTTGCTTTTTTCAGTGGGGTGGAAAACCCACATTTGGGGCTTTATTTTTGATAGGAAAATCCAACCAGCCAACAAGAGCAATAAGAGCCGCTGGATGCCCATAAATCCAGGGGGTTTTGGGGGGAGTTTGGGCTTATTTTTTAATTGCCAGTATTTTCAGGCCCTCCAACTGTTGTTCCCAAAACATGGCGACCCTCTGCCCATCTTCCCTTGGCTTTGCCAGGAGCTCCTGAGGCTGGAGCAGCTTCCAAATATTCTCTGCCGTGTGCTGGCATTCCCATAGGGAAGAAAAAAAAAGAAACTAAACCCTTTTATGGAGCTTGGGAGGCTTGGAAAAGGCGTTTTTGTGGCGTGTTGCACTCGTAGATTCTCCAGTAATTTGTGGGAATGCTGGCAAAGCAGGAATAGGAAAATCTGTGGTTTAAGGGCAGCAATTCCCGTTTGGAAACGCTCGGTTGGGCTGTTTGTAGGGAATAATCTTGATGCAACAAGGCCACCTGCAGCCTCCCCGTGTCCTCCTGCAAGGGATGGAGCTGGGGAGGTTTCCTGAGGGTTTGGGATAAGGGAAGGGATTTGTAGGGTAGGGATCCATCGGGAAGCACGGTGAGGAAGGGAAAATGAGGCAGTGGGATCCAGGATCACATCCAAACCCTCCCATTCCCAGAGCACGGAGCAAACCCCACGCGGGCTCCTCCCCCTCTTTTTATGTCATTCATTTTGTAATTAATTTTAATTCACGTTGACCTCCGGACCAGCTCGGTTTTAAATATTATTGGACCTTTTAAACAAAAATAAATACAAAAAAAAAAAATCCCCAAAAATATACCAAAAGAAAAACAATTTAAACCCAAGAGTAACCACGTCTTCCAAGCCTCCAAGGTGTGGAGGGAACATGGCCTGGAGCTGCTGCCCTGGAGAGCCTCCCCCCCCCTCCAAGCCTCAGTTTGTTCATCTGGAATTCGGGGTTGTTTTCCCGTTTGTTTTCTGTTCTGGTTTCGGTTCTGAAGATCAGGTTTCGTGATCTCCCTGACAGATCCCAGCCAAGAGTTTGTAACTGTCCGATGTTTCCTGTCAGATGTAGAACATTCGAGAACGATGAAATTGTTTCCAAAAAAAAAAAAAGTCAATAATAAAAAAAAATAAAATAAAAAAAAAATGAAATAAATAAATAAAAGAAGCCCGACGGGGTTTGGTGGTCGGGGTGGTTTTTTTTTTTTTTGGCACAGGGAGGTGATGGGGGGAGTGAATGGGATGGACCATGAACCCACTGCTGGGGCGATGGTGGAGCTTGATGGTCTCCAGCCCAACCTTGGGTGGGTTGTCCCGATGATCCCAGTGTGATCCTATGGAAACAGCTCCTGTGGGAAGTGAAGTGTGTGGCCTTCATGGGGAGCATCCCCACCGTGTTCTCCTGGGCTGGTGGAGACTTCGGATAGAGGGTGGATGGTGGCAGGAGACCAGCTTTGCCCGGAGCAATCCATGCCCAGTGAGGTTGTTGGCGAGGTGGGAGTTATCCTGTGATCCAGTGGCTGTTGTTATCCTGGCAGCTGGTGATGGAGGGAAATCAGGAGCTCGTGGTGGTCCTGGAGGGGCTTCAGCTCAACAGACCCAGGAGGTGACCGTGGATGACATCCAGTGGCTCCCAACGGAGCTGTGCCGTGGCTCCCAGAGATCGTGTCCGTCAGGCCGCCACCTCGGCACGGGGAATCCTTCCCACCACCTGGGCAGGACCTTGGATTTGCTGTGCTGCCACTGGACACCTCGGTGGCAGGAGCAGAGGCCGAGCTGCACCTCCAGCTCCTCGTGGCTCTGAGTGGGACTGGCCTCACACAACGCCCCGTGTCCTCCAGGGGTCTGTGTGGGTGTCACTGTCCCCCCGAGGCCACCCCCGGGCCAGGAGACACCTGTGGAGGACAAGGGATGGACCATGGGTGAGGGGGGCACACGTACAGAGCTCCACGTGTGCGGGGCTGAACACGTGTGTGGGTGGCAACACACAGAATCCCAGGTTCACCGGGGTTGGAAAAGCCCTCTGGGATCACCGAGTCCCGCCTGTGCCCGATGCCCCCCTTGTCCCCAGCTCAGAGCACTGAGTGCCATGGCCAGGCCTTCCTTGGACACCTCCAGGGATGGGCACTCCAAACCTCCCTGGGCAGCCCCTTCCAGTGCCTGACCACCCTTTCCAGCAAGAAATTCCTCCTGATGTCCAACCTGGACCTTTCCTGGCACAGCTGGAGGCCGTTTCCTCTCCTCCTGTCCCTTTTCCCTGGGAGCAGAGCCCGACCCCCCCTGGCTCCCCCCTCCTGTCAGGGGGTTGCAGAGCCAGAAGGTCCCCCCTGAGCCTCCTTTTCTCCAGGCTGAGCCCCCCCAGCTCCCTCAGCTGCTCCTGCTGCTCCAGCCCCTTCCCCAGCTCCGTTCCCTTCCCTGGACATGCTCCAGCCCTTGCCTGAGGGTCCCAGAACTGCCCCCAGGGCTGGAGGTGCCCCAGCAGTGCCAGCACAGGGACAGGCAGTGCCCTGTGGGTCACACACCTCGGGTACCACCCGGGCTCGTGTCCATCCACTGCCACCAGCACCCCCGGGGCCTTTCCCAGCTTTCCACCCGCTCTGTCCCAATCCTGGAGTGTTCCATGGGACTGTGTCCCACCCCCCCTCCATGCCAGGGACGCGTGGCCACCAGCACGGGCAGCAGGGAGGGAGAACAGGGCGGAGAGGGGGGAAAGTGTTCAGGGACATGTGAGCCCGAGCAGCTGCCCATGAGTCACCAGCAGCCCCCTGGCCGTGCCACCCCGTGTCACCTCGTGTCACCCCGCGGTGTGGGACACCCCCTCGCTCCTGCCTTGGCGTCCCCAGAGCCGGGGGGGGCGTGTAGAGGTCCCTGCACATATAGAAGTGGCCATACCCCCCCTGCACAGCCTTCTGCCCGCATACAGGGCACGACCACGCATGCAAATATATGCTAATGTGCTGTTGCATACCTGCTTTTGGGGGGGGTACAGAGCACGAATAGGGGACAGGGATGTATTAAGGGGGGGCAAGGGTGTATTAAGGGGGGCACGGGTGTATTAAGGGGGGGCACGGGTGTATTAAGGGGGGGGGCACGGGGTTGTATTTAAGTCCCTGGCTGCTGCAGGACACCCCAGGCACCACCAGCACTGTGTCCCTCCAGCACTCCAGGGAATCAGCACCCACCCTATAGTTCCCCCAACACACCTGAAACACAGAGGGGTGAAAATAAAGGGGTGATCAATTTTTAGACTGTTTTTTTAAGCCTCCCAGCTACTGGAAGAGGTCTGGGGGTGATGGGGCTGCTGCAGCCTCACCCCTCACCAGATGCCCCAATGAGGTACATGCAACCCCCTCTCCAACCTCCAGAAGTCCCGGTTTTCCCCTCCAAGGGCTCCCCCCCGACCCTCCCTCCACACCCCCCCCCTCACCTCTGGGGTGCCATCGGTGCTTTTCAGCCACGGGGGTCTCATCCCGCTGCCGGGGAGGGGCCCCCGGAGGGGCTCAGCCCCCGCCTCGCTCCTGAGCTCCGGGATCCGGGACACGCGGAACCTGCCGGGGGCGGGGGGAGCGTCGCATCAGCCCGTCCCACCCTGGGGAGGGGACACACCCCTGCTGGGGGGGGGGGTCCCTGCTCACCTGCCGATGGAGAGGATGGTCACCTCGCCGGGCTTGGGGACCTTGGTGGCCCCGGGAGGTGGCAGCACCTCCGGCCACTTCTGGGTGCAGCGTGCGCAGGGGGCCGGGCCCTGCACCGTGTGCGGGTGCTGCTGGTGGTGACAGGAGGGGGCGAACTGCGGCAGGAGGTGCAGCCTGGGGACAGGGGGGAGATGCCACCATCACCACGGGGTTGGTCCCACCACGAGGGATCCTCAGCGCGGCCCCGAGGAGGGGGATCTTACTTGTGCAGGGGGGCCCAGCTCGGTGGCATCAGCTGCTGCCTGCGATGCTCCTTCAGCAGCTCCTCCAGCGCCGCCGCGTTTTCTGGGGGCGAGAGACACCGAGGAGGGGGGGTCACGGGGGTCTGGCCCATGTCACCCTCTTTTCCCCCCTCCAGGAACCCCCCCTGACCTTTCTTCTCAGTGATGAGCCGCACCAGCACCCCGATGGTGTCCTCGTTGGCCTCCTCCAGCTGGTAGATGGAGCTGGGACCTGCGGGCAGAATTTGGGGGAGCTCGGTGACGGGGATAAAGCAACCCAAAAAGAGCAGGAGGAAACGGGCAGGATGCCCTGGGACAACGAGGACCAGGAGCCGCAGGGATGGGCTGAGGTGAGGGAGGGCTGGATGTGGGAGGGCTGGATGCGGGATCACCGGGCGCTGTCACGGCACAGCCGGGGCTCACCGGTGCCGCCGGGCTGGGGCTCCTTGCTGGCGGTGCAGTGGTACCCCTTCTTCTTCAGCAGGTTGCACACCAGGATTCCCAGCAATCCCATGGCACAGAAGACCGGGACGATGGTCAGCACGGCCGCCTGCGCCGCCGCCGCCTCCTCCTCTTCCTCCCCCCTCGGGGTCACCCGTGTCCCGTTGGTTCCCGGTGCCCTTCCCGGCGTTTCGGGGCTGCGGACCCGCCGCCGGCCTGGGGGGTGGAGGCACCGGATCAGCCTCGAGGAGCGGCTTTCCTGGGATTCAACTCCGTTTTCCCAGGAGCCCTGCTGCAGCTGGAGCCCAGGGAAGCAGAAGCCGTTCCCAGCTGCCGCATCCCGGCAGGACATCGCTGCTCATCCCAAGGGGGGGCACATCCCGCGGAGTCCCAGGGGCGAGCACAAGCTCTGCCGTCCCCCCCCCCGAACCCGGGGTGGCACCGGCAGCTCCAGCACCCACCTGGGCACCCCGGGGTGCTGCGGGGGGCAGCGGCGCAGGGCAGGCACCGGCCCCGGGGGTCCCTCTCCCCTTCGGGGCTGTAAAACCTGCGGGGCGGGAGGGCAGGAGGGTCAGGATCCGGCCGGGAGCGGGGTCGGGGGTTCGCGGTGTCCCCTCCCCGGGCTCACCCCGGCAGGCAGGCTCCGCACCGGCTGTCACTTCCCGCTGTCCCCGCGGCCACCAGGATCCTGTTCCCGGCCCGGCACCGGGTGTGAGCGGCACAGGGTGTGTCCCCCAGGGAGAAGGTGCCGGGGGGACAAGCTCGGCACGTCCTCCCTGGATCCTGAGGTGAGGGAGAGGGGGGTGAGCCGTGGCTGGATCACGATCCACGGGGATGTGCCGCAGGGGGCACGGCTTACCCCGCTGGGCTCCTCCCCGGGAGGGCATCCCGGTGTCCTGTGCTCCCGGGAATTCCAGCTCTCGGCCCCCACGAGTCTGCTCAGCACCTGTGGGAGAATCGAAGGGCTCAGCGCCGGCTGCTCCAAGGCCTGTGCCGGTGGGAATGTGGCTCCGGGGGAGGAGGAGGGAGATGAACCCATCACAGGCCACGTGGTGGAGGCAAAACTGTCCCCTGGACCATGGCAGATGCAAACCCCTCACTGGTGACACGATGGGGGCAAACCATCATCAATGACAGGATGGTCACAAACCCATCCCAGATGCCAACCCATCACATGATGGATGCAAATGTGGCCCCAGAGATGCCACATTCCTTATCAGCCCCTGCCCTGGAAGAAGATTTGACGAAGGAGAGAAAAGGAGGGGGAAGAATGTGTGTGAGGGGAGAAAAAAACCTCTCAATCCAAACTGAGCATCTCCCCAAGTGCTGCAAGTTTCCAGGTGGGAAGTGTTTTGGGCTGCCCTGTTGTGGCTGTGGGGTGGTGTTTGAGCATCAGAGGTGCCAAAGGCAGAGAAGCACAAGGATGGGATGGGAATGGATGGGCTGGGAGTGGATGGACCAGGCCATACTCACCCCCAGGACGGTGACAAGCCACCAGCGCATCCCGCTCCTCTTCATCACCAGGGGACACCTGCCCAAGGGGGAGCATGGGGGGGTCATCATCCAGGGAAAATCCCAGTGGAGAAGCAATTTGGGGGCCCCATTTCCCCCCACTGGGATGCTCCAAGGCATCTGTCTAAATATCCCTGCACCATCCCCCAAAAAGCTTTATTGGAGGATTTATGGGATGCCTGGCATCATCAGATCCCAACTCCATCCCAAACTGGAGAGGGACCAACCCCTGCAATGGAGTCACACCACCCATGCAAGGAGCAGATGACGCTAAATAAAGTTAAAGGAAGGTTTTCCCTGCTCCGGAGGAAATCCTTGTGCACCTGCCACAAGGAAATGAAGTCACTAAAAAGGAAATAAATATATATTCAAACACAAACTGGAGTGAAACAAAAGGTGTTTCCCACAGGAAAATATAAAATTAAAAATCTAAGCTGAGAGCACAGGGGATGGGGGGAAGGAAGGAAAAACACAACCAACAACCCAAACCCGGATCCAGGCTCCTCATGGAAATCCTGCCGCCCGCATGGAAACTCCCCCGGTCGTCACGGTCCCGTGGGAGCCTCGGCACAGCCTCTGCCTGACGAGTTTGTACTAATTAGTGGCCTGAGATGCAGCTCATTAAACATGAGAGGGGGTACTGGGGGGGCTGAGCCAGGTATTTATGGGATGTGGGTTGGGACAACCCAAAATGAGCATCCTCTGTGCTCCAGTTCCTCCACCCCTCAGGTGCCAGCACGGAGCCAACCAGCCCACCTCTGGAATCCCCCCGGCATTTGGGATGTGCCCCTCAAGCAGAGGGAGGAAAACTGTAAGCCAGCACTAGTAAAACTCGAGTTCAAGCCTAATGTGAAGCATTTTAATCCTCTGGGGCTGTGGGATTCAAGCACCTCGGGAACGATGCCACAGGCTGGCACAGCCCAGGCTGCCGGAGCATCCCGGCTCCCCAGAGAATTCCAGATGCCCACAAAGGGATTTAAACCCCACCAGGAAGAGGGCTGGCCCCAGGTAAAGCAGATCTGAGGCCAGGCTTAATCCAGGGATTAAGGACATCCCTTAGGTGACCAATAGGGATGTAGGAGGCACAAGGATCAAACGGTGCCAGCTCCTGGTTGGCACTGGAGCTTTGCCGAGTCACGGCCACCCCAGGGCTCATCAGCCGGTTTTGGGGGCCGCCAGGGGCCATCCCAGGTGAGGATGTGGGATGCAGGATCATGGGATGCCCGGCTGCCCTGGCACAGCAGAGAGAAGCCCTGAAACTCCTAAAGCCAACATAATTTGTCCCTCCAAAAACCACGGGAAACCAAAAAAATAACCCCATCAGGGCCAGACCTGCTTTTTGGAGACCTCCAGCACCCCCACACCCCACCTGGCTGGTGCATCCACGCAAACGCAGCAGGAAAGGTGACTTGGTTTCAGAACCCTCCCCCAAAATCCCTCTGGGTCACAGAAGCCTTTTATTCCCATTCCTGCTTTAATAGAGCCTGTAATCCAAGGCTGCCCACTGGGATTCCTGGGTTTCCCTCCCTGTGCGGGAACAGGGTTTCAGCCGATGGCTCCTGCAGATAAACGGAGCTGAAAAGGAGCAACTGTTCGGGAAAACTTTGGGGAGCAGCTCTTGGAGGCAGCGCGGGACAAGGAGGGGATTGTCCGGCAGATGGAGCGAAACTCGGCGCTGTCGCCTCCCCCGGGGCCCCCTCGGAGCTGTGGGAACAGCGGAACCGCCACAAATATCCAGCATTAAAATCCACTGATCCCAGAGGCAGCGCTGGGATCCCGCCAAACGCGGGCAGCGGCACGTTCCATCCCAGTTTTGGGGGGCAGCCCCTCATCACAGCTCAATTTTGGGGGGCAGCCCCTCATCACAGTCCAATTTTTGGGGTGCAGCCCCTCCTTCCAGCCCAATTTTGGGGGACAGCCCCTCATCCCAGCGCGGTTTCGGGGGGCAGCCCCTCACCGCAGCATCCCGGCTCCCGCAGGGCTTTTTGGCTGCAAGCCCTGGGATTTTCCAGCTCCCGGCAGCAAAAAAGACCCGCCACGATTCCAAACCCCTATCCCTCTTCCCAGGCAGCCGCTGCTGAGTTTTCCTTAACCTACTTTCCCCCCTCTCCACCCTTTATTTTAACCTACTTCGGCGCTGCCGCAGCCGGAGCCTCCCGGCCCCGCCGGGGGGTCCCCACCGCCCCCACTCCAAGCTCCCCCCATGCCCTGCTTAGCGACAAACCCAAGGCAACAACACCCCCCCAACCCTTTTTAACCGCAAATCGGGGGGTCCGGCACCCCAAAAACCAGCACCCCCCGCTCTGTCGCACAACGCAAAGCTGCAGCAACCGCACTCCCAGATCGCTCCAAGGGGGAATTAACCCTGTTAAGGCGAAGGATCCCGAGCCCCCCGGCTCGGGACGAGCCCCCTCGGGAAAAAGGGGGGGGTCCCTGGGCCGGGGGTGCCCCTTACCTGCCCCGCCGCGGAGCCCCCCGGGCTCCCCCCGGGGCCGCCCCGTTGGTCGCGCCTACTCCTTATGAATGAACCGAGGGCGCGCTAATTACAACGGGACACGCCCCTTTCCGTGACGTCACTCGTCAGACCCCGCCCCTTTGTCGTTCGCCACGCCCCCTATCCCAGCGCCGCGGCAGCGCCGCCTCCCGGGAACTGCGGGAATTTGGGAATGTTGCGCTTTATCCCGCCCCTCCTTGGGGTTCTGGGGGGGAAAACGCGAGGAATCGGATCGGAGGGACTTTTTCCTTCCCAGAAGGGATTTTAAAAAACAAAAATAAGGTGTTTTGGTTTTTTCCGTCCCCTTATGGGGTTGAGGACACCCCGGTTCGTCCCCGCGGTTGTCACCTCTCCCATGGGGACAACAGGGTGCCCCACTCTGGATCTTGGAGTGAAAGCAGGAAAATCGGGGGGAAAGAGCAAGGAAATCCGGGGGGGGGGGAGAAGCAGGGAAATGGGGGGGGGCGCGGGGAATGGGGGGGGGGGGAAAGTAGGGAAACTGGGGGGGGAAAAGCAATCTATGGGTGCTGCACCCAGCTTTACTACAGCACATGGAATCTTGGCCTCGCCCTCTTCCCTAGGGAACAGTTTTCCCACACTGGGGACACCCCGGTTGCAGCTGGGCCTGCTGATCCCTCCATCTCCCAGTGCTGCCCAGGACCTGCTGTCCCCTGTTTGTCCAGCCAGGGAGTGGGACACATCCCAGCTCTCTGTGGCACAAGGGAGGGATCCTCTGCCCCCCGACATCCCCCTTGGGGTTATCCAGGACGGAACAGCTGCACCCCAGTAGCGGGAAGGGTTTCTTCATCCCACGTGGCACCAGTGGGTGGCATTCCCAGTGACGCCAGAGGGTGGGGGGAGCTCCTCACCCTGTTCCTGTCACCCCACCCCGAGGGAAGGACGAGACCACGCCGGGTTCACTCTGACACGGGTGACCTTTAATGACAAAGAGCCTCCACGTGACTGTAATCCCGCCCCAACCTTCCCAAAATATCCTTATCATCCCAATTTATAGCACACCCTCACCCCCACCCCCCTGATGGCTCCATGTGGGACGGCAGCATTCCCGTCACTCATCCCTGCCACCGCCGTTGTCACCTCTCCCATGGGGACAACAGGGTGTCCCGGTCTGGGAGCGCCGGTCTCACCCGGACCCTGAGGTGAAAGCAGGAAAATGGGGAGGAAAAAAGGGCAAATGGGGGAGGGTTGGTCCAGAAAGTCTCATTTTTAGGGTCCCCACACCCAGTTTAGGGCCACCCTTGGCAGGGAATGTGAAGATGCTTGTCCTCATCCAGGAGATGCAGCAGTGCCTTCATCCCACTGCCCAGGCTGCGAAATCTCATTGGGAATCACAGAGAACGGGGGGAGGAACCCCCAATTTCCTTTTCCCTTCCCCTCCACCAGCTCCCCCCCTCCACCAACACCCAAGATCCAGCTCCACCAGTGGGGTCCAGCTCTCCGGGAAGTTTGAATCCCTCAGCTCCGGAGCAGAAGGACCCACAGCGACGTCAGGATGCACCTGCTGCCCCCCCCCGACCCCCCCAAATAAATAAGGATGTTTCTATATATATAATATATATATATTTAAAACAAACAAACAAACAAACAGAGCTATCTGGGTGCTGGCGATGGAGCAGGCGGGGGAGCGGGAGGCCCGGGCCGGGGGGGGACACGGCGCCCAGATTGTCCCTGGGGTGGTCCCGTGGCGTGGCCGGGGGTCCCGGGGGGGGCCGGGGAGGGGGTGTGACAGTGCCAGGCCCCCCCCTCCCCGCGAAGCAGGCACACACAAAACCGGAGAGCAAGGCATGTTCCGGGCACATCCTCCAGCCGGGCCCCGGGGACGCTCCGTGATCCCAAGGACACGCACCCACCCACTCCCAGAATGTCCTGGGTGCCCCCCAAGCGGTGAGTGTCCCCCCCCCCCCACCCCGAGTCCAGTGCAGTGGCCGGGGGGACGGCGGGGGGAGCGGGGCTCGTCCCCCCCAACCCCGAGCACACAGAGAGCAGCCGGGTTGGAGATGAGAGGTGCCGGGGCGGGGGGGCGCTGGGGACGGGGGCCGGGACCCCCCTCTCTGCACGCAGGGGGGGGCAGCGCTCCCCTTCCTGGGCGGGGCGGCCCCGGGGGGACCGCGGCCGTTCACGCTCTCCACAGGAGGAGGTGGTTGGTGCTGTCGTCCCGCCCCACGGTCTCGCTGCTGCTGGTCAGGCGGAAATCCTCGTAGCCGTCCCCGCCGCTGATCACCAACATCTTGGGCTTGGCCAGGCCCAGGGCGGGGCCGCGGGGCCGGGCCGGGTCTCGTTTCTCTGCCTCGCTCGGCTTCTCGGCCCCTGCCAAGTGCAGAACCCCCCGGGTCCTGTAAGGTGTCCCCACGCGGCTCCCCCAGTCCCCCGGCAGCGTCACGGCAGCAGCAGCTCGGCAGCTGCATCCCAGCAGCATCCCAGCTGCATCCCAGCAGCATCTCAACATCATCCCAGCAGCATCCCAGCTGCATCCCAGCAGCATCCCAACATCATCCCAGCAGCGTCCCAGCTGCATCCCAGCTGCATCCCAACATAATCCCAGCAGCGTCCCAGCTGCATCCCAACATCATCCTGGCAGCTGCATCCCAGCAGCATCCCAACATCATCCCAGCAGCATCCCAACATCATCCCGGCAGCATCCCAGCAGCTGTATCCCAACATCATCCCAGCAGCTGCATCCCAGCAACAACATCCTAACATCACCCCAGCAGCATCCCAGCAGCAACTCACAAGTGTCATTCCACTGTCATTCCACCAGCATCATCCCACCATCACCCCACCAACATCCTCCCAGAGTCATCATCCCAGCATCATCCCACCAAAATCATCCCAGAGTCGTCATCCCAGCATCATCCCAGCAGCATCATCCGTCCAACAACTAGATGACCTTCGAGGTCCCCTTCTAACCCAAACCATTCTACTCCTCCATGATTCCAGCTTCCTCCCTCCAGCATGCCAGCAGCATCCTCCCACCAGCACTTTCCCAGGCACCACATCTCGGCCCCCAAAAACTCCTCACATCTGCAATAGCCCCTCCCACCCCAAATTAGCTCCCCCAGCCCATGTTTGCCTCTCCCTTCAAAATCACTCTCCAACATCTCATCTCCTTCTCCCCATCCCATCCCATCCCATCCCAGCTTCAGAGCTGGGCTGGGTGACACAGCTTTCCCGTGGCTTTTCCCCAAGGGAATTTAGGTCTCCCTAGGAAATTCGGGGGCACTGACAGGGGGAAGTTTAGCACCCAATTCCCACCCCCAACTTTTCCCCCTGGATTTTTAACAAGGCAGTGACGGAACGGGGACTCCGACAACAACATTGCAAGGCTCCTCTTGGTTCTCCACCATCGGAACAGCCCTGGGAAATGTGTCACCAGGCCACCTACCCGTGTCCCGGGGCAGCGGGAAGAGGACGTCGAAGCCGTCGGGCAGCTCGATGGCCGTGAGGAAGCGGACGTGGCCCGTGTGGCCCTGGGAGAGCCCCACGAGCGTGGGGGCAGCCTTGGGGGACACGGAGAGGGTGAGCACCACCCCGGCGCTCGTCCCGATCCACAGCAGGTCCTTGCACACCAGGAGCGCCGTGATCCGCAGGCAGGCGGCCTTGTGCTGCCGGATAATGGCGTCCGAGCCTGCGGAGCATCCCGGAAATCAGCGTCTCATCCCGCCCGGCACAGGGTGTGAACCCCACCACTGCCATTCCCGGGGGGATTTGTGGCACATGGGATGTGGGGAGGGACCCCACAACTCCCCTGGCTGGTGTAAAGCACCCCAGGGTGCTGTCAGATTGGGCTGATAGGACAAGGGGGAATGGCTTCCCACTGGCAGAGGGCAGGGTTAGATGGGATATTGGAAAGGAGTTCCTGGCTGTGAGGGTGGGGAGGCCCTGGCACAGGTTGCCCAGAGAAGCTGTGGCTGCCCCATCCCTGGAAGTGTCCAAGGCCAGGCTGGAGCAACCTGGGCTAGTGGAAAATGTCCCTGCCCACGGCAGGGGGTGGAACTGGACGAGCTTCATGGTCCCTTCCAACCCAAACCACTCCGAAATTCCGTGATTCCATGACTCTGGGGTTACCGCCCTGTTTCAACATGGGATTATCCATTCACCAGTGGGGTTTCTGATGGAAGGTGTCCCTACCCATGGCAACGGGGTGGAACTGGGTGACTTTCACGGTCCCTTCCAAGCCAAACCACCCTGGAATTCCACCATCCCATGGCAGTGGGTTGGAACTGGATGACCTTCACGATCCCTTCCAACCCAAACCACTCTGGAATTCCACGATCCCACGCCTGCGGGATTTACCACCCTGGGTTACCGGTCCTCGAGCAGGACTCACCTGCGAGCATCTTGTGCACGGGGGGGGGTGATGTCGGCCTCTGCCAGCTGCTCGTAGCTGGTGCTGTGGTACAGCCGGACCTGGGCGCTGCCCTGAAGCGCCACCCACACGCCGGTGCCGGCGCTCACCATGCAGGTGACGCCGCGCCCGCCGTCCTGGCCCACCTGGAGCGTGTGCTGCGGGGGGACAGCGACACCGCCGTGACGCCGCTGGTGCCCCCGCCGCGGCCCCCGCCACCACCCCCCCCCGGGTGCCGCCCGCCCCGG